GTGTGTTATACTGGTCTGGATTGTAGTGTGTTGTGTGTATACGGATCTGTAGTGTGTTATACTGGTTTGTAGTGTGTTATACTGATCCAGTCTGTGGTGTGTTGTGTGTTATACTGATCTGGTCTGTAGTGTGTTATACGGGTCTGTAGTGTGTTATACTGGTCTGGTCTGTGGTGTGTTGTGTGTTATACTGGTCTGTAGTGTTTTATACTGGTGTGGTCTATAGTGTGTTATACTGGTCTGGTCTGTGGTGTGTTGTGTGCGATACTGGTGTGGTCTGTGGTGTGTTATACCGGTCTGGACTGTGCTGACAGTGCAGTGGCAGTGAGTGACGTGGAGATGCTCAGTTGTCTGTGGACTTCAGCACAGCACTACTGTACAACGCAGCACTGGGCTCAGACCTTTGGACCCGCCGCACACTAGTATTTCACTCTTTCTCACCCCCTCACTGTCTCGGACAAATTCAGTCCAATTCTCTTTCCTGACTATTACCAAAGCAATTTTGCAATCGCGTGTGACACTTAAATGGACATGAATGCAGCCTGGTGTAGTAACCATGTGTAACACAGTCTCTCTTCCTGCCCGTCTCTTCCTCCCTCTTCCAATGAAATTTGAATTCCAAACCAAAGGGCTTTATTGACATGGCTTATTAATTACAATAAGTCTTTACCACCAAAAAATATTATTTATTTCAGAGACTTAGTCTCTGTTCCTCATGCTGTGACAGGAGATCTCATCCTGGGCTGCAGCTCAGTTGAGTTTCCTCCCCCAGTAGGATTAGAAACAGTTCTGATTCTGCCAGGAGCAGGAATTCTGAGATTAGATTTGTTATTTAGAGAAGAATGTTTCTCTAATCCCAGAGTATTTGTCACAGTGCAGCAGAAAGTTAATCTCTATCTCTATTTCTCACTGCTGGCAGTGGGAGCACAGCCTGTCCTCTCTGGACAGCCAGGTCTGTTTGTATCCAGTTTCTATGTCCAGGCTGTGGCCAGTGAGCCTGTCCTCTCTGTGCAGCCAGGTCTGTCTGTGTCCAGTTTCTACAATATGTCCAGGCTGTGAGCACTGAGCCTCTCCTCTCTGGACAGCCAGGTCTGTCTGTGTCCAGCTTCTATGTCCAGGCTGTGGGCACTGAGCCTGTCCTCTCTGGATAGCCATTGTCTCTCCATGTCCAGGCTGTGGTCATTGAGGCTGTGCTGTGTGGACACCCAGGTCTGTCTGTGTCTGTACTGTGGTTGACTCTGACTCGTGTTGTTTGGCTGAGCTGTCCTGGTGCTGGTTGGTGTCAGTGAGCTTCAGGACCAGCTGGGGAATCTTCTTTGTCCTCATGTCTTGGCTCATCTGGGCTTTAAATCTACAAATGCTATTCCTGGACTTTCCCCAAGCACGAACTGCACTCTATGTGGTCTTGTGAAAATATTGAAACGCTGGATAGCCTATAATGGGGAAATTAGCCCATTACTGGTAAATGCCTATCAGCACAGGTAGGAGTTTGGGTCACTGCTTTTTAGTTGTAACTAATATTTTCTTGCTCTCTTCTGTCTATTTCTTATTAGTGGGTACTGGCCTAATTCAGCCCTGCACACATTATTCTGTGTTTTTCTCTGCACACGAATAATGTTTTCACAGCTTCTATAGCATGACTGGAATTTGGATGGACAGTTTTTGTCAGTTTGGAATTTTTTCCCAGGAGCGGTTCTGGGTTTATGGACTGGTTCAGTGAGTTTTCTGTTTGTGTACACCTGCCTCCCCCTCTCTCCATCGCCCTCTCTGTGTGAACCGGATACCACGGTGCGGCGCAGAGCCTGCTCCTCTCTGGGCTTGTCGGTCTTCCTGGGTGCAGGGTGCCAGGAGGGCAGGGTGCTGTGTATTCATAAAGACGATAATTAAAACACAGTCTCCGTCTTCTCTGGGCACAGGAGGGAGACCAATACTGTATATTGGACACAGTGAACAGTTTGCTGGTGGCCCAGCCTCCGAGAGGTTATTTTAATGTGTGTTGGAATATTTGCATATGCAGATGATTTCCTGTTGCACCTGGACGGCTCACGTGGCTGTGCTCGGTGCTATTAATGATAATCTCCTTCATTTTACGTGACAACTTTCAAGGTACGTCAAGGCGTGGTTTAAAAAAGCCCGACATCAGGACGATCTGAGATCGGGGTGGTTCTGGGAGAGACACGGTAAAAGATGTTAATATGTTGTGTGTGATCTGCTGGGCTGGTTGTTCTTGATGCTGTTACTCTAGGCCTTACTTCTGCTGTCTTGTAGTGGACAGTACTGTGCCTGCTCTTTAATCTGCTGTCCTGTAGTGGACAGTACTGTGCCTGCTCTTTAATC